TAGGAAGGAGACGTGTATTCTGGATCCTTTTAAATTATATTAAAATGTAAAGTTTTGCATTAGGGCTGTCGCTACATTAAGTAAACTGTGGCTTGCTGGTTGTCTAATTTTACTACATATTCTCCTTCTGTTATTTATCTATTTAACATAAACTTAGAAACACATTTGGCTCATGTTAACCAGGATTGAAGGTATTAGTGTATTTGATTACTTTAGGTTCCTAAAATTTGCTAAAATCACGTCTCCACAAATCATTGGGTGATGTTAAATCGTCTACATCCATTCTGCTATAAACACAACACTGTGCATTCATGTGTTTCAGTGATGATTGAGTTTACCACCAAATATTCACTGGTGGTAAATGAAGTCATTATATACCTATGCTCTTACACAGCTAGGGAACTGAGCCAACATCAAGCTTGTTGCTGTTGACAGAACCACCAAGTCTACATCATACTTGGCATACACCCAGCAAAAAGTCACAGCAATTCATCTCTGGAGTACTCAAGCAGTCAAATCACACTTTGAGTCTCTTACACGCTCTGCCCCAACAGCGATGTCAAGCAGCGAGTGGAACTCCAATTCAGCTGTCAGCTGTGGAGGAGATGGAGAATGGAAAGCGCTGCAAGGAGAAGAAGACACTTCTCTCATTATCCTTTCTTCTCATGGCAGCTTCACTTGCCCTGAGAGTCAGCTGTCAATCACAGCCAGGCGCATTAAGACAGCGGGTGCCCCGAAAGTAAGGCGCACTCATCAAATCTGCCAGCAGGCAGCAAGAAAACACCCATAGAGCCCACAGCCACCTGCAATTAAAGTGCTGCACCACTGTAGAGAAAGGAACCCGAGGCCACCTGCAGGTCAGCGAAAAACCCAATTACCAGCATGTCATATATTGTCAGGGAGAGTAATTCCTGGAAACAAAACAGCTCTGACTCACCTTTGCAGTGGCTGCAGAGAGCAAAAGATGAGATCGTAGGTGCAAGTGCAAGAATCAAATCTCTAAATTAGGTAAATGGAACTTTTGTTTTAATTATTGTTGGAACAAACTAGAAAACGGGGAGAAAAGGCTCCAGGTTAACGGTACGCACAGGGCCACACAGCTCAGACCATGCGGTTTCATGTACAAAACTCTCAAAGTGGTGGATTAAAAGTTATAAAAATAGAACATTTACAGAAACATATCTACAAAGTCAGTTCATTGGCCATAATTCGGCTACTATTTTGCAATTTTTTTCTTTTTTCAAGGAAAAAAAAAAGTACAATCAAACAACTAAACCAGACATTCACAGCTTAAAGTTGTGAGCACATTATTATGCAGTCTTTAGCACAGAAACGGTTGCTACACAGTAGTTTCATGTTTCCACAAGCCGGTCTTTACTGCGGCTGCACTGTCCGTTTTAATTACAGCCACTGCCTGTCCATTCTCTTTAAGCGTGCCACCGTTGTGAGTGATAAGGTTCAGCCCATAAGACTTAGGGTGGCTTTCCAGCCCCGTGCTGCCAGGCTGCTTTTCAGAAGCAGAGTCTCTACTTGAGCTCGACCCTGCCGCAGTAACCGACTGCTCAGTCTCTACGGTTACCACAGATCCTTTCCCCAGCGTGCTGCCGCCTCCTTTATCTGAATAGCGGGAGCGCCGCGGCAGGCTGGCGCTGTCGCTGCTGTCCTGTTGCAGCTGGCTCTGATGCCGCTCCCTGTACGCCATGTAGGCCGCTCGTCTGCTGTTGCGAGCTGCCATGTCGTAGTGATGGTGTCTCCTGTGTGGGGCGCTCTGCACGCTGCCCTCCACGCTGGTAGGCACGTCGTAGGCGTACTCTCGCAGCACGGTGAGCCGACTCGCCCTGTGCGTGCGCGCTCTGTTTTTGTGATGCCTGCTTATGTGGCCGTTGGCGGTGGCGGCGACGGTGGCGGCGACTGTGGTGGCGACTGTGGTGGCTGGGTTGCTCGCGTTGTTCACAGGGTGGAACTGGACCTCGAGCGGTGACACGTGCATTTTGATTTCATTGTCTAGTGAATGCTCGGTCAGGCTGTTGTCCAAAATAGCAGCTCCATTGGCTGCCGCTGATGCTGAGGCTGACTTGCACTGTGCAGCCTCCGCGTGGAGATTGGTCAGCTTGCTGCCGTGGGCGGAGTTGCGCATGCTCGGGGCGCTCTTGTTTGTATAGGAAGAGTCCGCGCTGCTGTGGCCGCACTTGGCTGACTCCCCATCTGCCTTGTTGTCAGATCCTGTCGTGGATATCATCGCCACGCCTGACTGAGGCAGAAGGGTGTCCTCCTGTGCGGAGTATGCTCGTCTCCCGGAGCAACAGACCTGGGACCAGTGGCGCCTCATATCTTGCCTATTGACGCAGTGATGAGCAGCCATGAAGGCCCCGAGTGCCAGCGCCGCCACCCCAAACAAGCAGGTGAAAGCTAAATCAAATGGGTGGTCCTGTGATACCGCCATGGCGCCGAACACCCACAGGGCTGCGTACAGCCCCAATGCCCCCGCTGCACCCATCAACTGCCCAGCGAAGGTGTGCTCGTTCTCCAGAGCCGACAGTGGCACAGTGTGGGGGGGAAACACTAATGAAGAGGACGCCTCATGTGGCTGAAGCTGCAGGGTGAGGGGGTGGCAGTGGCTGCCGGGAGCATCGGGCCCAACCTCAGTGTTGGCCGGAGCCAGATGCTGCTGCTCTTCGGTTGGCTCTTTGAGCTCGTAACGGCGCTCAGGGTGCCGGCGCAGCTGCAGCAGGATGCTGAGGAAGTACATGCAGTCCACGAAGATGATAAAAACTACCGGGCCATAAAATGCTCCGATGCTCGGCTCCCACGCCATCCAGCAACTAATGAAGACAGAGATAAGACGATTCAGACATCAGATGTGGCTTTTCTTTTCAACTCTATATGAGCCTCAAGGTTTAGCATTCATTTAAATTTACCGAACATGCTAATGGTAAAGTTTTCCTCATTAAAACAATACCTCATCTCCCCATCTTAATCTGTCGCTGTGATTATTAACCCGAGAAACTCGAAATTACTCTGGAAAAAGTTTTGCGTCTCATTCTTACAGTTACTGTCCCATTACATTTAATAACACAGGCTGAATTCGTTTTGGTTGCAAGAAATTAATTAAGCTCCAAAGACTCCAAGACAGATACGGCTCCAGATTTCTCAATTAGTCAGCCACGCTACACAATCTAAACAGCTGCCGCCGTAGAGAGCGGGGCGGGGGAGCTCGCTGTAAACTGGCAGCAGTTTCTTGTTGCTTGGATGCGCATATCATTAAAAGGCATCTATAATCAGAACTGGAGGGAATAAACCTTCCCTCATAAAAATATTCGAGCTAATGCAGTGCAGTCTGGCCTGGACAACTACAAAGCCAATTTCTCTTAAAGACAGAAGGTAGAAAAATATGTGAATCTGTTGACCAGATAAAATGGCACGGCGTTTCCATGAAATCAAACCAAGAGAAGGAAACTTTAATGACTAAAGTTCTACTTACTATGGCGCATTGATCTGGCTGCCGTAGTTTTTGATGTTTGCTGCAGCAGTGATCCCACAGACTATGATGGGTATCCCTCCGCCAATTAAGTAGAACCTTTTGGAGAAAGGAAAGAGAGGTAGTTCAGTTTCAGTCTTTGGATGATAAAATAGGCATGAAGGAAATAAAAGAGATCAGGTGACGCTTCGGGCTTCTACAGTGACACCGTGTGGTGGCAGCCTCACTAAAATGTGGCCACATATAACAACGGAAATGGCATATACACATTTAAGGGAAGGTATGCCGAGTATATATACAGAGAAGTTTTATGACACAGCGTAGCGTGTCCTGCGCTGCGTCTGTAATTTGTGTAAAAAACACACGACAGCTCGAGCTTGGTTCACATTATAAAAGCTGCCTGTTGCTACAGATTTATGCACAGGAAGAATCACACGCACACATCTCAACGGACAAAATGCACAGTCTTGTTTATTTGAACAGTTAAAGAGCCTGAGTCTAGTTTATGTGGTATTTACAAGCATACGGATTTTGCTGTACTGCTATTAATTCAACGGTGCCTGTGCGATCCAGACATACTGCAAAGGAAGCAGGCACAAAATAAGTGACGCTCTGGTTCATTTCTTCACTTCCAGGATAATAAAAAGATAGTAAGCTAGAACTGGGTGAAACAAAAGCTCTGAAGCCCTTAGTAGAATTACTACATGTTCAGACGGTTGCACAAGGCTATCATTTGGAGGGTGTAGTTTAAAAAGGCACCACTTTTGCCACACATCTGCTGCGGTGAAAGAGTCAAACCTCAGCATTGGCCGCGGCGGTGGCGGCGGCTCGTCCAGCTCCTCGTAGCGCTTGGCCTTGCGCGTCACTTGCTTGTAAATGTTCCTTGCAGTCACGCCCACCCAGAGAGTGGTAGCGAGAGTGGAGTAGTGCAGCAAAATGCCCACCTAGGAGAGAATGGACCATTA